ATCCCAGTGACACTTTACCACCTGGCACAGATGGAGCCACGCAGGAAGAAGCAGCTGCAGAGACGGAGAGCAAGGAATGTCCTGCGCCAAACAAACCGGAGCCACACCAGCATCCCGGTGAGCCTGGAGCCACCACAATCCATCCAGGCCCTGAGGGGACAGTCCTGCAGGGACACTTGTCCCCAGTGCTGTCCCACCCCTCAAGAGGGTCTGATGCCTCTCCTGTGCCCCTCAGGCTGGGACCCGCAGGCATCCAGTTCTTCCTGGTGTCCAGAGTGGAGGTGTTAGTGCTGGAGAGAAGCCCAGAGCCAGCTCCAGTATCACCTTTCCTAGGGCAGCTGGAGCAGAGAATGGCCCCCGTGCCACTACAGGAAAGGTGCCTGGAGCTGACTCTGGAGTGGCCCTTCCCAGGGTACCTGAAGCAGGGAATGGCCGCTGTGCCACCAGGGGAAGGCATCAGCTCGACAGTGGCACAAGCACTGCAACACACCGCAAGCCACCGCTGAGCCCCCGCCACCGTGGTGCCACCGGTGACTCTTCCCGGGATCCAGCCGTGGGGGCCCTCCTGGGGCCATCCTGGGAGCGGGGTGGGCGCAGGGACAGGGCACGTCCCCTCACTGTCCGTGCAGTCGCCTCACGCTGCTGTGCCTGCGCTCGGCAGTAAAGATGCTGCCACCTCCATGTCTGTGCCTGGTGCTGCCTGTTCTCATTGTGATGTACCCTCAGGGGTCCTCCTGTCCCCGAGCCTGGCCAGAGTCTTGCTGGCAGCCAACCTCGAGCCACCATGGTGTGGGCCCTGCCGCCAGCGTGTCACCTCTGTTGCCTGGTGTCACCTCAGCCCTATCCCCATGGTGTCACCTTGGGGTGCCTCCTGAGCGCTGTCCCCCCTGTCCCCGCTGTCCCCACAGGCCCGGGGGTGCGCCATGCCCGCAGGCCCCGTTGCCATGGCAACTCCCGCGGCGCCGTTTCCATGGCAGCCGCTGCGCTCCCAGGGCGCCCCCCAGCGGCCGGAATCGCGTCACGGCGACGCCGGAAGTACCGGGGAGGCGGAAGCGGAAGCGGCGGCAGCCGTGGCCGTGTCCTTCTGTGCCGTGACGCCGGGGCGGCACCATGGCGGACGCGGCCTCGCAGGTGCTGCTGGGCTCGGGGCTCACCGTGCTCTCGCAGCCGCTCATGTACGTGAAGGTGCTGGTACAGGTAAGGGCGGGAGTGACGGGGTTGAGAGGGGGTACCGGGCCCGGTATCGGCCGCGCGGGGGGTACAGCCTGCCCGTTCCCGCCGCAGGTGGGCTACGAGCCGCTCCCGCCCACCCTGGGGAGGAACATCTTCGGCCGCCAGGTATACCAGCTGCCCGGCCTCTTCTCTTACGGTGAGTCCGCCCTGGTGGGGCCGCCCCGGCGCCGTCCCGGCGCCGCCGTGGGGTCCCCCCGGGGCTGACGGTCCCCGCTGTCCCCAGCCAAGCACATCGTAAAGGTGGACGGGAGAGCAGGACTCTTTAAAGGCCTCGCCCCCCGCCTCTGCTCCAGCGCCATCGGCACCGTGGTGCACAGCAAAGTGCTGCAGGTACCGGCACGGGCGGGGCGCCGGGCCCGCGGCGCTGCAGGGACCGGGGGTTCTGCCGCCGGGACTGGGGCACACCGGGGCCCCCTGGCTCCCTGTACAATGCTGGCCCTGCGCTGACCCTGCCCTTTGCTCCACAGCGGTACCAGGAGGCCGAGCAGGCTGAGGTGGGTGCAGAGATGCTTCCCATGGGGAATCCATCCTTCCCTTCTCTTCCCTTCTCTTCCCGTCTCCTCCTTTCTCCCTCTATTTCTCTGTTCCTCCCTTCTCCTTTTTTCTCATCTTCCTTCCCACATTCCTTTCATCTCTTTCTCCTTCTTTTTCCCTTCTCTTCTCTCTCTCCCCTTCCCTCTTTCCTTCATTCTGTTTTGTCCGTTTTCCCTTTGTCATGCTTTCCCTCCTTCTTTTCCCCTTTGTTTCCCCCTGTTCTTTCTTTCTCCTCCTCTCCTTTCTCTCCATTCTCTCCCTGCTCCCCACATCCCCTGGATTTGGACAGCCCCAGCCCTGCGTCTGGAGCGCTCCAGTGGGCCAGGAGCTTCCACTTTCACCCTGGGGACAGCGTCCCCTCTCCGGGCAGCTGTTCCCACCTGACTCCTCCTTCCCCCTCCAGCCTGGAGCCAGCAAGAAGGAGCCAGTGTCATCACTGGAGCAAGTGCTCAAGGAGGTGAGGAGCAGCAGGAGGAGGAGGAAGGCAGTGGGATGTCGCATCCCTCTTCCCTCCTGGTGATGCTCCCTTTGTTCCCAGACCTCCCGGGAGATGGTCGCCCGCTCTGCCGCCACCCTCATCACCCACCCCTTCCACGGTAGGTGTCCCCCCATCCCAAGGGACCGTGGGGCGCAGTGCCAGGTGCCTGCTGTCCCTGCTGTGTCACACCCGTGTCACCCCGTGTCACCCGCGTGTCCCCACAGTGATCACCCTGCGCTGCATGGTGCAGTTCATTGGCCGAGAGACAAAGTACAGGTATGGCCCGGGGGCTGTGTGTGCTCGGGAGCCCTGGGAGCCCGAGATGGCCCTGACGTTCTCCCTCCTCTTTCTCGCTATCCCAGTGGGACACTAAGCGCCTTCGCCACAATCTACCGGGAAGAGGGAATCCTGGGATTCTTCGCGTGAGTACCGGCAAGGCAGGGAGGGGCATGGCAGGGGTGACATCTGTGGGAAAATCCCAAAGCCTTCTTGGGAGTATCCTGGATCCCTCCAGTAGCTCCAGATCACTCACCCGAGCATCCCTGCTCCCTGGGATGGCTGCTGTGGGAACAGCCACCCCCTGTCCCAAACCAGCACAGTCAGATCCCAGCCCTCAGTCAGCATTCCCACTGTTTCCTCCCTCGCAGCGGCCTCATCCCGCGGCTCCTCGGGGACATCCTCTCCCTGTGGCTGTGCAACATGCTGGCCTACCTCATCAACACGTACGCGCTGGAGAATGGGGTAGGCTCCGCGCCGCGATCCGGAGTGCCAGGAGCTGACGGGGGACAGCTCCAGGGGTATTCTGGGAGCCACAATCCCATTTTGGGGGCATTCAGGTGCTGTTGCTCCTCCCCCAGGTCTCCACCATGACTGAGATGAAGAGCTACTCCCAGGCGGTCACTGGGGTGAGTGCGGCCACGGGAAGGAGGTGGATCCTTTCCCTAGGGAGCAGTGTGTTCCTGGAATCCTGCGGCTGCCAGGGTGGGGATGGAGCTAGGCTGGGATCAGCCACATTAGCCCACAGGCCAAGGGATGCTCCCTGGAGGACATGTGTAACCCTGTGGAGGTGGCAGGAGTGGGCTCCCTCCCCAGGGTGGAACTCCGAGGGGTTCTCCTAATGTGGAGGGAAGAGGGAACATCCCACTGATCCCCACTTTTTCTGCAGTTCTTTGCCAGCATGCTGACCTACCCCTTCGTCCTGGTCTCCAACCTTATGGCCGTGAACAACTGCGGGTGAGTCCCTAGTCCCACTGACACCTGTGTTCCTCTGCCCCAGGGAGAGTGTGTCCAGGATCAGCTCCTGGAACCATTTTACCAAAATTCCCCAGTGGAAAGGTGCTTTCAGCGCTCCACAGGGTTGATCCCTCCTTGCTTAAAGTGGGAGAGGGTTGTTTTGGGGTTCAACCCAGTGTGGAGCTACAGAGGGAACAAATCATTTCCGGGTGGGAATAATTCCCTGTGGGTCTTTCCTCCTTCCCCAGGTTGGCCGGGGGGCTCCTTCCCTATGCACCCACCTACTCCTCCTGGCTGGATTGCTGGAGCCAGCTGCACAGGGAGGTAAGTGCTGAAGCTGGGATATGCTGGCCTACACCAGACACGGAGAGGAGCCAGGTGGGAGCCCCATGGGGTTTGGAGAGGCCGCCCTGGACCTTTTGTGGCCTCTCCATGGTTGTTTTCCCTTTCCAGGGCAACATGAGCCGAGGGAACAGCCTGTTCTTCCGCAAAGTTCCAGCAGGGAAGCGATACGTGTGGGAGGAGCAGAGGTTCCGCTGATTCCAGAGATGGGAATGGGGTTGTGGAGCCAATGACGGGCTTTGGAAGCAAAGAATCATGGAGAGTGATGATTTCTATACAGTTTTTTAAAAATCATTTCCTGCTGAGAGCTGAAGATGCAGGTGTGAGAGTTTCTGTCTATGGGAGTTCTCTGAGAAGAGGGGCTGGCTGGTCACCAGCATTCCCTGATTTATCCAGGAGCCTTTTCCCAGCCTCTAACACCGTTGAGGCTGTTTCCACAGTGGAAATTCCCTGAAAAGCCCAGGCGCCTGGTGGCACGGAGGGCCAGTGGCACGTGTGGGCTGTCAGAAGTGGGCGGAGTGTATGCTTGGAAGGGGTTGTTTTACACCTGGAAGGGGTTGTTGGATGCCTGGAAGGGTCCTTGCAAGGCCTGTAGGGGGGCAGAGGTGAGCCTTGCACACCTGGCGGGTGTGTGGAGCTGGAAGGTGGGGTCACACAGCTGGCAGGGGCTGTCACACACCATCAGGAGGGACACACCCCGGAGGGGTTACTGCACACCTGGCTGCTGTGCACGTGATGAGGGTTATAGCACAGCTGGAGCAGGACTAGCACAGCCAGCAGAGCCGGAAGGTTGTTGCAAAGCTGGAGGGTAGGTGGCACACCTGGCCGGAGTTGTTGCACACCTGGCAGGGCTGGAGCAGGACGTGCACACCTGGCAGGGACCCTGCGAAGGTGGGACGTGGGTCGCACACCTGGGGGCGGCTGTCACACACACAGACAAAGCGCTGCACGCCTGGGAGCGGCTGTCGCACAGCAGGCGGGGGCACGGCCGAGCTGGCAGGCGGTTTCATTCGGGTGGTTTCGTACCCGGAGCGGCCGTTCCGCGCCGGAGGAGGCTGTGGCACACCGGGCGGGGCTGCCCCACCCTCGGTGTGGAAGGGCCGCGGCGGGGCGGGCTCGGTGCGGGGGGCGGTGCCGGTCCCGCCTCCCCCGCTGCCCCTCCCCGCCCCGTGCCGGCGCCATGGCGGGCCCGGGCGGTGCCGGCGGTGCGGGGGACGCCGGGGATGTGCTGAGCGGCGGCAGCGAGCGGCGGTGCCGGGCGCGGCTGGCGGCGGGGGGCGCGGGGGGCGCGGCGGCGGCGGCCGCGGTGCTGGTGCCGCTGTGCTCGGTGCGCGGCCGCCCCGCGCTGCTCTTCACGCTCCGCTCCCGCCGCCTCGCCGGCCCCCACAGCGGCGACGTCAGGTACCGGCGGGGGGAGCGGGCACCGGGGCCGGGCCGGCCCTGACCCCCCCCGATCCCTCCCGCAGCTTCCCCGGTGGGCGGCGGGACCCGGCGGACGGGGACGCGGTGGCCACGGCTCTGCGGGAGACTCGGGAGGAGCTGGGGGTGGCGGTGGCGGCCACCAGCGTCTGGGGACAGCTTCGGACGCTGCCCGACCGGGTACCGAGGGTCGGCGGGGCTTGGAGGCGTGGGGACAAGGGCGTGCGGGGACAAGAGCAAAAGGGCAGGGGGCAGGACACGGGGACGGGTTCGAGGTGACAGGGAAGGCGGCAGGGTCATGGGCGGGTTCGAGGTGACAGGGACAGGGTTCTGGCGTGATGGGTTTGGGGTGTCAAGGGTTTTGGTGACAGGAACAAGGCCACAGGAACACGGAGAAGGAAGGGGTTCAGTTGACAGAGACGAAGCAGTAGGGACACAGGTGACAGGGACAAGGCAAGGAGGTGGGTGACAAGGTGCAGGTGACTGGAGGTCAGAGGGACAGGAACACAGGTGAGGGGGGTTGCAGGTAGCAGAGGATTGGAATGACAGGGAAAAGGCAGCAGGGTCACGGCTGACAGGGACAAAGCAATAGTGTAATTTGTGGCAGATTCAGGGTGACAGGGACACAGGTGATGGGTGTTAGAGGTGATGGGGACAGGGCAGCAGGGACAAGGGTGGTGGATTTGGTGTGACAGGGACAGATCAGCAGGGACAGGAATTGTGGGGATTCAAGGTCACAGGGCACAAGGCAGTGCCTGCACTGGGTGCAGAGGGGTCAAAGCACAGGCACTTTGGGGAGGGGGTGTCACCCTGTCCCTTGCTGACACGCCTTCCAGCATGGAATGACCGTGGCACCCGTCGTGGCCAACCTGGGGCCGCTGGAGGCCTTGACACTGAACCCCAACCCTGATGAGGTCAGTGACTCCTCCCCAGGCCCACTCCCCTTTCCGTGGCAGCTGCTCTGGTCACTGTGGTCTGTGCTGACAGGTGGAGGAGGTGTTCACCCTGCCCCTGGCTCACCTGCTCCGCGAGGAGAACCAGGGCTACACCCACTTCCGCACGGCCAGCGGCTACGGATACACCTTGCCCGTGTTCCTCAACGGCCCCCACAAAGTGTGGGGGCTCACAGCCATCATCACCGAGCTGACCCTGGAGCTGCTGGTGCCTGGCCACTACCGCAGGAAGACCCACGTGCCTCCCCGGAAAGCCCCAGCCTGAGCGGGGAGGGGCAGGGGGGTCCCGTGCCTCGGTTCTCCCAACGCACACGGGGGAAACGGCTCAGAGCCCAGCAGTGATGTCGCACACTGTGATTCAGTAAAAGCCATGTTTGGAACTGCCCTCGGCTCCGAGTTGTGGAGTGGGGCCAGGACAGCTGGCCCTTGGCACAGGCACAGGAGGAGGAGTCCTGGTGCTACTGTGGCAAGGACAGGGATTGTGGGGTCCCCAAGGAGGGGACTTTGTCTGTCAGTACCCTACAGCCATCACCTCTGCCGCACCTCTAACCTCATGGAAATTCATGATGTCCACTCTGGGGGTATCGAGGCCCCAGCTGTGTGACCCCATGATCCCTGGGGATCTCTTGCTCCAGGGGCAGCAGGACACAGAGGCCCTCTTCCCTGTCAGTCCCTTCTGACACCCATTTAATGTCCACAGCAGAGCCTGGGAGCACAGCAGCATTTATTGGGAACCCTCCTAGTGCTGCCAGCACCCCCAAAACCCCTTCCAAGCAGAAGGGAGGTGTGGTGGTGAATCCTTATGCCGACACCGCTTGGCCTTTGGCCTCGCTGTAGCGCCGCATCCTCTCCTCCAGCTCGGGGCGGAAGTGGCGGATGAGGCCCTGCACGGAGCAGAGGAATCGGTTAATGGGGCAGGGAAGGCTGCTGGCCCCTCCAAGCCATCCGGGCCCCTCACCTGCACGGGCCAGGCCGCGCCATCGCCCAGGGCACAGATGGTGTGTCCCTCGATCTGCTTGCTGATCTCCCAGAGCGCGTCGATCTCGGCGACCTGCGCGTCGCCCCGCACGAACCGCGCCATCACCTTGTTCATCCAGTCCACGCCTGCGGGAATTGAGATGGGAATGGGTCCCTGCCGTGCCCCGCCCCGCAGCCCCTCACCCATGGCTCCCCGCCCACCTTCCCGACACGGGGTGCACTGCCCGCAGCTCTCGTGCTTGTAGAACTCGATCAGGCGCGCGATGGCTTTGACGACGTCGGTCTGGGGAGAGAGGGAGGGTGAGGAAGGTGGGGGTTCCACCGCGGCTGGGGGAGTCGGAGGGGCTCATCCCTTACCGATTTATCCATGACAATGACGGCGGCTGTGCCCAGCCCGCTCTGCGCCTGCACCAGGGAGTCGAAGTCCATCAGCACCGTCTCACACACAGACTTGGGCAGCAGTGGCGTGGAGGAGCCGCCGGGGATGACGGCCAGCAGGTTGTCCCAGCCCCCACGGACACCTCCTGCAAAGAGGAGGGTCAGGACAGGGTCAGGCAGCTCCGGCCCTGTGCTGGCCCGGCTTGGCCGCGGCGCTCACCGGCGTGTTTCTCAATGAGCTCCTTCAGCGGCACCGACATCTCCTCCTCCACTGTGCAGGGCGTGTTGACATGCCCCGAGATGTTGAAGAGCTTGGTGCCGGAATTCCGCTCCCGGCCGAAGCTGGCGAACCAAGCGCCGCCACGCCGGCAGATCGTGGGGGCCACTGACACCGTCTCCACGTTGGCCACCGTGGTGGGGCAGCCAAACACACCTGGGGAAACATTAGGAAAAAATTCCTCCCTGTGAGGGTGGTGATGCCCTGGCACAAGTGGCCCAAAGGTGCTGTGATTGCAACATCCCTGGAAGTGTCCAAGGCCAGGTTCAACAGGGCTTGGAGCAATCTAGGATTATGATATGCAGCCCATGGAAGCAGAGTGGAATGAGACAGTCTTTTCAGCTCCCTTCCAACCCACACCATTCTATGAAGCAGTGGGAGCTCTTAATGGACAGGGTGTTGGCTGTGGTGTTGTCCCTGCAGCAGGACAGTATCCTGGGGACAACTGTTTTGGGGTGGCAGCTGGGAACTCAGAGCTGTGGGGCCGTACCCACGTCAGCAGGGAATGGCGGCTTGAGGCGGGGCTTCCCCTGCTTGCCCTCAATGGACTCGATGAGCGCCGTCTCCTCGCCGCAGATGTAGGCGCCGGCGCCACGCACCACGAACACGTCGAAGGCGTATCCCGACCCGCAGGCGTCGCCGCCCAGCAGCCCGGCCTCGTAGGCCTCACGGATGGCCACCTGCAGCAGGGCAGGGGGTGAGCCCAGGAGCATCCCCGGCCACGCCGGGGCGCGTGGGGAGGCTGTGGGGGGCTTCCCCCACCTGCAGGTTGGAGGCCTCGTTGTAGAACTCGCCGCGGATGTAGATGTAGGCGGCGCGGGCGCCCATGGCCCGCCCCGCCACCAGGCAGCCCTCCAGCAGCTTGTGCGGGTCGTGCCGCATGATCTCCCGGTCCTTGCAGGTGCCCGGCTCGCCCTCGTCCGCGTTCACCACCAGGTACTTGGGTCTGCGGGCAGCTCACGTCAGGGGGGGCTCCCCGCAGGGCGGGGCCGCGGCACCGGCGCTGCGGGCGGTCCCGGTCTCACCTCCCGTCCGGGGGTTTGTTCATGAAGCTCCACTTGAGCCCGGTGGGGAACCCGGCACCGCCGCGGCCCCGCAGCCCCGAGGTCTTGATCTCGCCGAGGATCCAGTCCACGCCCTTGAGCAGGATCTCCTTCGTCTTGTACCAGTCGCCGCGGCGCAGCGCGCCCTGCAGCCTGCGGGCACCGGGCACGGTGGCACCGGGCGCTGAGCCGGGGGCACCGGCGCTCCCCGCGCTGCTCCCGCTACTCACCGCCAGTCGTGCCGCCCGTAGAGGTTGGTGAAGATCCGGTCCTCATCCCGCAGCGACCCGAACTGCGTCTTCTTGGGCGCCGTCTGCGGGGACACACGGATTCAGCGCCGGGAACACCGGAACCGGTACCGCACGCTCCCGGCGCTGCCCGCCCCGTCGCCGCTCACCGAGAAGGAGGCGGCGGGCAGGCGCCGCAGCGCCAGCAGCTGCCTGCCGGCCATGGCGGGGGGCACCGGCACCGGCACCGACCACCGTCACCTTCAGCCGCCCCCGCGGTGACGCCAGGGGAGCGCCGGCGGCGCGGCAGTGACGCCACGAGAGAGGCCGGACCGGGGCCGGTCTGGCGGCGGGGCCAGGGCGGGGCCGCGTTCGCAGGGCGGGCTCGCTGCCGCCGAGGGGGCGCGGCCTCGCCGGCCGCGCGCCGGCACGTGCCCCGCGCCCGCGCCCGGGTCGGGTTTCGGCGCTGAAACCGGAGCCCCCCGTGCGCCCCCCCGGAGCCCCCCGGGGCGCCCCGCTCCCCCCCTCCAGCGCCCCGGGGGGTCGCTGCGCTCCACCCGATCTCCTGCGCTGCACGGCGGGTCCCGGGGACGGCGCTGGCCTCGTCCCTGCGAGGGCCGGGCGCAGGTTCGGGGCGATCTGGTTTCCTCCTGCTTGGCCCCGGCCGTGGGGAGAAGCGGCGGGAGCGGGCGGAATGTTCTTCCTCTTCCGCGGGCCGCAGCGCCACGGCGCGGGCAGCCCCGCGCCCCCCGCCTGCCGGGGCGCCCCCCGGCGCCGCGGCCCCGGCCGAAGGGCTGCCCGCGGCTCCCGCCCGGGCCCTCGGCTCAGGGGTCCCGGCACCGCCGGCACTGCGGGCAGCCGGGGGAGATTAAGCCGTAGTGGTGCGTCCCCCGCAGAGCTTCAGCGGGCTGCCGAGGAGCCGGGGCCCCGGCCGCCCCCCGCTTTTGGGCAGGTAACCGGCGGCGGGGACAGGGCCGGGGCACGGTGGGCGCCGGGGATCCTGCGTGCCCTCGCAGGGAGGCTGCGGGACTGGGGAACAGCTGGGCGGCTGCCCACATCTGGAGCAGGGCGGCCGAGCGGGAATAATCCGGAGGATTATGCACGCGGGCGCGGCACCCACCCCCCCGCGCCTGCCCTGCATATCCCCAGATATTCCATAAAAACCTCAAATCCCCGGTGGCAGCCCCACGGTCTGCGCCAGCCAGCCCCCCCGGGGCCAGGCATGTCCTGCGGCGTGGGGGCAGCCCCCAGCCATGGGCAACTGCACCAAGACCCCTGAGAGGCGGCTCCCCAAGGTACGGCAGGGCTGTGACACCCCGCGGGGCAGGAGGAGGAGGAGGAGGGGGTCCCTGCTTGGCCCCCCCTCGCTGCTGACGCCTGCTCCACCCGCAGGATGGGAAGCCGTGCTCGGGTGCTCCAGCCTCCGGCGCAGGGGACCCTGAGGACGTGCTGGACGCGGCGCAGACACCCCCGATGCAGGGATACTCGGTGCTGCAGGGGCTGGTGGGGCCGGCCTGCATCTTCCTGCGGCAGAGCATCGCCATCACCCAACGGGTACGTGACCGTCCCCGCTCGTGTGCTGCCTGTGCTCCCGGGGGGCTGAGGGCAGAATCCCTGTGGGATCCCTGGAAGTAGGACCCCTCCTTTGTCTCTTCCCATTTTCTCTTCCCCAGGACCGAGAGCTGCGGCCCGAGGAGATCGAAGGTGAGGCGCTGGGGCGGGAGTCCTGCTTGGGTGGGTGGCAGTGCTGGGTGGTGACACTGTGGTGTCCTCAGAGCTGAAGCAGGCGTTCCGGGAGTTTGACAAGGACCACGACGGCTACATCAGCTACAAGGACCTGGGCGAATGCATGCGGACCATGGGCTACATGCCCACGGAGATGGAGCTCATCGAGCTGTCCCAGCAGATCAGTATGTGGTGGGGCAGCGGGTGCCCATCGGTCCCTGCCCCTCACCCCGCTGACACCCCTCTCCCACCGCAGCCGGGGGCAAGGTGGATTTTGATGATTTCGTGGAGCTGATGGGCCCCAAGATGCTGGCGGAGACGGCGGATATGATTGGGATCAAGGAGCTGCGTGACGCCTTCCGTGAGGTATGGGGGCGCTGGGGACAGACAGGTAGGCTGTCAGCGTGCCAGGAGTGGCTGGTGGCAACGGGACCTTGTCCGTAGTTTGACACCAATGGGGACGGACAGATCAGCATGGCAGAGCTGCGGGAGGCCATGCGCAAGCTCCTGGGGCAGCAGCTCAACTATCGGGAGGTGGATGAGATCCTCAAAGATGTGGATCTCAATGGCGATGGCCTGGTGGACTTCGAAGGTAGGAGCAGGGAAGGGGCCAGGAGCACCCCCAGGGACATGTGGGAGGATGTTCCACATGTGTGTTTACCCCGGCAGAGTTTGTGCGGATGATGTCGCGCTGAGGGCGGTGTGTGCCAACGCGGAACCCGAGCCCCCCGTGCCTTACGAAGACGAGGGGGCCACAGAGGGACCCCCAGCTCCAGGGGCTGGGGCAGTGCTGGCACAGTGGTGCCCGTGCCTGGGGTGAGGCTGGGTGCTGGAGCTGCTCCGATGCTGAGGTCTGAACGTGGTGGGAGGCACCGGGGCCGAAGTCAGGACCCTCTTCTGCACAGGCTCAGCCAAGCTTCAACTACTCTCTCTCTCTCATCTCTGCTCTCTCCCTGCATCATCCCCCTCCCCACCCGGACCTCATCCTAAAAGTCACACCATCATGGTCCCTTCTTTTTCAGCTGTTCCCCATCCCTGCTGCTCTTCCCTCCAGCCTCCATTCCCACTCTCTGTGCCGCAATGAGCCCCTCAGGCTCCCCCCACACCGGGTTTAATACGGACTGCACAGCATAACCTGCCCCATCACCATGGTTTGAGCTCAGACCCACCCCAGACCAGCCTAGGGTGAGGCATCCCTCCCCTTTCGGGGCTGGCACAGACACTCATGGATGTTCTGGCAGCCCCCAGCACAGGGGAGACTCCTGTCAGCCCAGCCAGGAGACCCTCCAGGAGAGAAATAAAGTATTACTGGGTGGAAGGGCCTCAGCCAGCTGCAGGCAGGGCTGCTGTAGGTACCCTCCCTGCCCTGGCTGCAGTTTTGGGCCCTATTTTGCCCTTTTGAAATGATAAAACTCTCTCTACAGACTTCTGGTTTGTGTTTTGTGTTGTTTCCAAAGAGTTTATTTGTGATCGTGCCATCCACTGGTATCCCCCAAAACCCTGGACTCCCAGTGTGTCTCACGGGAACCCCGCAGGGAGCCGGGATCCCGGGCACGGGGCTCCGGGGAAGGCACGGCCGGCGGGTGGGGCCGGTTCCCCAAAACCCGGGCCGGGGTTCACCCCCGCAGAGTCGGGACGCCCTGACCGGCGCCGGCTCGGGGCTGTGCGGTGGCACGGGGTGCCTCGGCGGCGGGGGGAACGCGGCGGTGCCGATGGTGCCGCTCCCGGTGTCCCCCCGGGCCCCCGAGGCGGTGCCGCCGCTCGATCACGTGATCCCCAGGGTCCCCGCCGAGCGAGGGGGCGTGGCCCAGCCGGCAGTCACGTGGTCGGAGAGGCACCGAGGGGCGGGGCCGACGCCGCGTGTCTCCACGGTGACCGGCCGGCGGGCGCGCGGCGGCGTGATGACGTCTCGCTCGTGACGCGCCTGCGTCATCACCGCGAGCGCCGGCGGCGGCGGAGGGGGGAGAGACCCGGGTCAGGCCGGGGCCGCGCAGCGCTACCGGGAACCGGGGCCGCCGCGCTCCGCTCCGGTTCCCGGCTTCCCGCCGGGCCGAGCGGAGCCGAGTTGAGCTGAAGAGAGGCGGGCACCGGCGATACAACCGGCGGGGCGAGCGCGGGGGCCGCACGCCGACCCCCGCCGCGGGGCTCCAGGGATCCGGGAGCGGCGGGCGGCCGTCGGGGATGTCCTACAAGCCTATCGCTCCCGCCCCCGCTACCCCCGGAGCCGCCAGCGCCAGCCCCGCCCCGCCGGGGCCCGGGGCACCGTCCGCCGGTGAGAGAACGCCGCGGTAACCGCGGGGGACGGGGGGTACCGGGACCGGAGGGATGCAGGGGGGTACCACGGGAAGGGATGGTGCCGGATGAGGGATGTACCGCGGAAGAGGGAGTGCGGCCGTGACCCTCGGTTTCTCGCAGCCACGAGTGTCCCGTCGCCCTCCGGTTCCGTCCCTGGCGCCGCCGCCCCTTTCCGGCCGCTCTTCAATGACTTCGGGCCGCCGTCCATGGGCTACGTGCAGGTGAGGCGCGGGGCCGGGGCCGGTGGGGCCGGGCGCGGCAGCGGGAGCGGCCCCCAGCCCCTCCGTCCCTGCTTGTCCCCCTGTTCCCGCAGGCCATGAAGCCCCCCGGGGCACAGGGCTCGCAGAGCACCTACACCGACCTGCTCTCGGTCATCGAGGAGATGGGGAAGGAGATCCGGCCCACCTACGCCGGCAGCAAGAGCGCCATGGAGAGGCTGAAGCGGGGTAGGGGCAGGGTGGGAAACCAGGGCCGCCGCGGGGCTGCGCCCCCGAGGCTCCTCAGCCCCGCGGGGAGCGACTGGAGGATGATTCGAGGTGTCCCTGTGCTTCTCCCCGCAGGGATCATCCACGCCCGGGCGCTGGTCAGGGAGTGCCTGGCAGAGACAGAGCGAAACGCCCGCACGTAACGGCAGCTGCCACCCGGGACCCCCCGGGACCTCCCGGTGGTGGCGGCGGGGGCGGGGGGGCCGCCGTGCTGCCCGACCCCCCCCCTCCCCGCGCTCTCCGCTCTTTATAAATGCGTGTTTTTATAAATAAAGGACAATGTTGGGACTTGGCCTCGGTGTGTCCCCGCGGGGGTGGGTCCCGATGGCGGTGGTGGGACGCGGGGTAGAGGTGGGGGAGTCGGGGGGAGGGTTTGGAGCCGCGCTGGGTGGGTGTCCCGGAGCTGAGAGGTGCAGGAGTGATCAAGCCTCTCGCCGATCACTTTAGAAAGTGTCTTTTTAAATAAAACACTGGGTTTTTCCGGGGCGGCGGTGCCGGTACACGCGGAGCGCCCGTGAGTGGCGCTCGCTGCCTTCCGCTCTCTGACGTCACGGGCCCCCCCTCACCCCCGTACGTCACGGCTGTCGCCGTGGGAACGGGCTGTGATGTCACGATCCGAGGGGCCGGTGCGGAGCGGCGCAGGTTTGGTGGGGCCGGGGGCGGCGGGGACCGGGCGGGCGGGGGGAGCGGAGGGGGCCGCGTTGCCATGGCAACGGAGCCGAGCCGAATGCGGCCGAGCCGGGCCGAACCCGGCGCCGAGAGGGGTCGAGCGGTACCGGACTGAGCCGAACGTGGGACCGAGGGTGGCCGAGCGGTACCGGACCGAGCCGAACCGGGAGCCGAGTGGTACCAGACTCCGCCGAACCCGGAGCCGAGCTTTTCCGAGCCGGGCCGAACCTGGGGTCGAGCGGTGCCGGGCGGTACCGGACTCAGCCGAGCGTGGTGTCGAGCCGGGTCGAGCCCGGGACCGAGCACAGCCGAGCGGTATCGCACTCAGCCGAACCCGGAGCCGAGCGATACCGGACTCGGCCGAACCCGGGGACGGAGCAGGTCTGAGAAGGGCCGAACCCGTACCGGGCTGAGCTGAGGGTGCCCCGAGCGGTTCTGAAGGGATGCCGAACCGGCCCGGGCTGTCCCGAAGCCGGCCCGGTCCGGTGTAACAGAAACCCCCTCAGGAGCTGCCCCCGCGGTGCCCCGCGGTGCCCCGCCGCCGCCATGCTGATCAAGGAGTACCACATCCTGCTGCCCATGAGCCTGGAGGAGTACCAGGTGGCCCAGCTGTACATGATCCAGGTGGGAATGTGGGGCTGAGCATGAGGGCTTGGGGGAGCTGCGGGGCTGAGCGGGGTGGGGCTGCAGGGGTTTGGGGGATGAGCCTGGGGGCTGCACGGGTCTGGGGTTTGTGGGGCTGAGCCTGAGGGGTGTGGGGTCCAAGGGCTGAGACTGAGGGTTTGCACAGGGCTGTGGGGCTGGGCATGGGGAGCTGGAGGGGTGCAGGGATCTGGGGACTGTGACTGAGGAGGTGCAGGGGTCTGAGAGATGCTGAAGATTGTAGCCTGATGGGTGTAGTGGGCTGTGGGGAGGCATGAAGGGTGCAGGGACTGACCCTGGGGGTGCACAGGGGGCTCTGAGGCTGAGCATGGGGTGCTGGAGGGTGTAAGGGGGCTGTGGGGCTGAGTGTGGGGAACTGGGGAGCTGTATGGCTGAGCATGGAGCCTGGAGTGGCACGGGGGGGTTGAGGCTGATCCCAAGGGATTGGCAGGTTGCAGGGGTGTCACTGAGGCTTTGGGTGGGTCTGGGACCACTGAGCTAAGCAGGGGGTCGTGTGAACAGGTGTGGGGCCGGTGGATGCGGGCGCATGGGGACGGGAGTGTACAGAGACCCTGGGCTCCCCATGAGAGTCGCGGGGCTTGGAGGGGCCGCACTGAGCCATTGTCTCTGTGCAGAAGAAAAGCCGGGAGGAGTCGAGTGGCGAGGGCAGCGGTGTGGAGATCCTGGCTAACCGACCCTACAGCGACGGCCCCGGGGGCAGCGGCCAGTACACCCACAAGGTCTACCACGTTGGCTCCCACATCCCCAGCTGGTTCCGGGCACTGCTCCCCAAAGCTGCGCTCCAGGTGGAGGAGGAGTCCTGGAATGCTTATCCGTACACACGAACCAGGTTGGAGCTGGAGGCAGCAGGGTGGGCTGCAGGACCGGCCATGCCCCTGGGCTCAGTCCCATGCCTCTCCAGGTACACGTGTCCTTTCGTGGAGAAGTTTTCCATTGAGATCGAGACATACTACCGCCCGGATGCAGGACAGCAGACCAACATCTTCAACCTGAGTGCAGCAGAGAAGAGGCAGAGGATTTTGGGTGGGTATGGCTGGCTTGGGGAGCTGGGCAGGACACCGTGACTACTGGGATTCCCACATACTGCTTCTGGGATGGGTGTGTGGTTGTGAAGGGGCCTTAGGAGCTCAACTTCACTCTTCTTGCTGGTCCTCATATTTCAGGGATGCTGGAAGGGAAGAACTCCCTGGATCCTGAGCTCCCTGCCCCAAGCTCCCTGCCCTGAGCTCCCTGCCCGCTCCCTCTCAGCACTGCTGAATTAAGTTCCACATTAAAGATATTTTCAGGGACAGTTCCTCTTCCCTTGCCTCTATTTCTGTTTGCAGCTTCTCCTTTCTAGTGCCAGCTTGCTCCCCTCTCTTTCTGTGTCCCAGCCTTATTCTGGCATGGATTTGCCTTCTCAGTCTCTCCTGGCATACATGGGACCCCACACCTGGGTCCTGTGGGATATTTTGGATTAGCTGGAGCAGGGAGAGCTGAAGAAGCATGTCCCCATTTTCCTACTCCCTGGCCTGCTTCCCCTCTCCCCAGGGCTTTGCTCCAGATCGCTGTCTGGCTCCTTTCCACTGGGAGTGGTGGGCAGAACAGGGAGCTCGGGGTGGGATTCTTCCCTCTCCATTGAGTTCCCATTCTCAGTGGTGTGGACATGGTCAGTTCAGGCGCCAGAGTGTGGAGTGTGATGCTCTGCCTCTTAAAATGGAGGCCCAAAATAGGCACTCAGAGGAAATGATTCATCTGACCTATTTCTCTCCCTGGCTCTTGCGGCACTGGGGATGTCCAGCCGGGATACTGATGGCTGGGACCTGGGGGCAGGAATTCTGTCCCTACTGCCCCCGGGAAGCCACCAGAGGCAAGCAGATGGCATCAGGGTATGGCTCCATGCCCACTGCCTGGTTTTCCACTCTCGTGCCCGTCCGATGGGCATTCCACAGGGCACTCAGCATCTCCAGTGGCTGCTGCTTTCCACAGGGAGAAGGGTTGAAGTGGAACCAGCCCCAGTGTGGATCCCACTGGGATTTTCTCTGTCCTAGTGTCTTGTAGCACTGACAGATTTAAACCCCTCTCACATTTCAAAGGGCAATGGAAAAACATGGTCTGGGTGATCCACAGGGATAACTGCTTCCTTGGCAGCTTTCTCCCAGTGGCAAAAGCAAAAGGAGTTGGATTGTGATGGGAACGACACTGCCAGGAGCTGCTTGGGGACAGCAGGTCCTATCCCAGCTCTTTGCTGCTGTTATCCAAGATACTTGGCATCCTGCTGTGAATTGCATCATTTTTGTGGATTCAGGGCATCTCTAGTTTCCTTTTCCCCTTTTTTTCAGCCTGAGCTGGAGGAAAAGAGGCTGACAGCACCTTGGGGACATCAAGGGGTGCAAATAAATGGGTTTGACATAGCCTGGAAATGGGGACAGTGCTGCGTGATGGTACTGGGAGCCAGCGGGGTCCCCTGGGATCCTCCAGACCATGACCTAGAGACAGGGCTGCAAAAGCCAAATTCTAGCAGATTTTGTGCTGGATTGAGCCCGAACGGCTGTTGCATCATGTTTTTCTGGGTGTTGTTCAGGAGCCTTTCTCTGGTCTTGGGAGGTCATCCTTGTCTGGGGGGGGCTCACCCTCATTTTGGGAAAGGTCACCTTTGTTTGGAGATGTGGCTCAGTGCCCTCCCTGCTCCCGGCTCTCTGGAGGTTCCTGTGTCACATGGTGATTTTGCTGTGCCCTATTTTTGGGGACCCTTGGGCTTTTTTGGGGAGGGGAGCCAGGAGCTGTGCCGAGCTGCCCCACGCACTGTCCCCATCCTCAACCCCCATGTCCCCCAGGGTGGCTGGGATCAGTCTGAGGCTGTCAGATCTGCCAGCTAATGCGTGTATGTGTGTCAGCCCCGGCTCTCCCCATGCTCCCAGACCCTCCCTCCCTCCCTCTGCCGCTCCCTGGGGTGCCGGATTGGGATCCACATGGGGATGGAGATGTCTTTGGCTGCACCAAAGGCATCTGTGATGTTCCAGCCATGGGATTTTATATGTTCTATTAGGAAATTCTTCCCCGCGAGGGTGGTGAGGCCTGACACAGGCTGCCCAGAGAAACTGTGGGTGCTCTGTCCCTGAAAGTGTCCAAGACCTGGGGCTTGGAGCTACCTGGGATAGTGGAAGGTGTCTCTGCCCATGGCAGGGGGTGGAATGAGATGATCCATAGAGTTCCTTCCAACCAAAACCAGTTCAGGATTCTACAATTCCAGAACTCCAAAATTATAGATTATAGAATATTATAGATATAGATTTTAGGACAGAGAGTGTTTGCTGCCAGCTGTGTTGGGTACATGGCTCATGGGAATAATTTGACCTTATTTTTGTCCATTTTTCCTTGTTTTCCTACCTGTGCCCCCTTGCCAAGCGCTGCGGGGTGACAAGTGCTGTTCCCCCCACAGACACCATTGACATTGTGCGTGATCCCATCTCCCCCGGGGAATACAAGCCCGAGGAGGATCCCAAACTCTATCACTCATCCAAGACAGGCCGGGGGCCGCTGGGGGATGACTGGCTGGAAGCAGCAGCAACCAGCGGCCCCCTCATGTGTGCCTACAAGCTCTGCAAGGTGGAGTTCCGATACTGGGGGATGCAGTCCAAGATTGAGCAGTTCATCCATGACGTGGGTGAGTTCAGACCTGTGGGTTGCTGTAAAGTCTTTTGGGCAGCCCATGGGATCACACTGGACTCGCTTCCCCCCTTCTCCCCCCAGGTTTGAGGAAGGTTATGCTGCGTGCCCACCGCCAAGCCTGGTGCTGGCAGGATGAGTGGACGGACCTGACGATGGAGGATATCCGGCAGCTGGAGGAGGAAACGGCGCGAATGCTGGCACAGAAGATGGCCAAGTGTGGCGAGAGCGAGGAGCCACCTGCGGCTGGGGTCAGCGCCGGGGGGCAGCCAGAGCCAGATGGTCCTGGCGGTCAGGAGGAGGCTGAG